CATATTGTAACTGTGAAATGTAACTGCAGCATAAGCAACTTTGCCGATACATAAACAATAATGTGGTTATGGTACTAATAACCTAATGTAACTATTCGTATAATTACATAAACATGTCCACTTGGACAAAGAGTCACTCTGCCACCTTCCCTGCCCCTGTACCTTGTCTGTGTTGCATGTGGTCTTGAGGAATTTTTTCCCTAAATTTTAAGGCTTGTAATGGACATTCATATTGAACTGAATGTGTCAATGTTGCCTGGGTTGTTGAGACCTCACCTGACCTCAGGGAATTTAAAATGTAGGGTAAATATTCACAAGTGAAGTCTTTACATCTTGTTCCTCCTCTAGTATTGTAAGGAAATTCAAAGTCACCAAACTCTTCCACCAGCAATGGTTACAGTAGGTCTCTGTGTCTCTTTCTCTGTCTCTCTCCCTTCTGCCCACTCCTCATCAGCAAGATCCTATAAGAGGGTATCCTTCATCAGTGCTGCTTAAGGCCATAAGTTGACATGCTGCTTGTTAACACTAGGATGAAACTAAAGCCCTGGTCCACTTCCTTGTTTGGGCTGCTACCTGCACTGGCCAGAAAATCCTAGTAGAATATGGGCCATGTCTGCCATGAAAGAGTCAGTGCCAACATTGAGCACAGTATCTGATCCTGCATGCCCAAAGGGACAGCTGCATTAATTTAACCTCGATAATCCAAGAGTATACTGATCTCAAGTTGGGACTCCCACAGACACATGGCACACCATAGCTGGGAGCATCTTGGGCACATTGGTACCAGTCAAAGCCTCACTTAGCTAGGGAATTGGCCTTTAGGGAAATGGCCATCCCTCTTACCAAGATCTAAGGACACAGTCTGGTTTCCATTCACCTATACTTCATGGGGAAAGATGTGGCTTTGGTACCAGTATGTTTCATTCCTTTCCTGCTCCCTGGATCTCTTCTCTCACCTAATCCCATATCCATTTCTCTTATCATCATGGGAAGGACAATTGGGTACTGAGCATCCCTGGACTCATGGGCATGTGCCTTAAGCTTCCCAGTCATTGTTCAAGAGAAATATTGTTTCGACTTCATATATAGAGCAAAATAGATCCCAAAAATGACATGAATACTGTTGTTAAAAGGGAAAAGAAAAAACACAAAAAGGCAACATATTTTGGAGTTAGAGAAATGCAAATTAAAACTACACTTAGATTACATCTCACTCCAATCATCATGGCAATTATCAAGTATACAAGTAATAGCAAATTTTGGGGAGAATGTGGGGAAAAGGAAACACAACATTAATGGTTGAAATGCATATTGGTGCAACATCTGTAGAAAGCAGCATGGAAATTTATATAAAAAAACTAGGAATAAAACAAGCTTTTTAATCAACTATCACACTCCTCAGCATATATCCAAAGGACTTAAAAATCAGCATACTACAGTATTTATAGTAGCTCAATTCACAATAGCTAAGCTATGAAACCAACCTAGATGCTCATCAACAGATGAATGGATAAATAAATTGTTGTATATTACAACAATCCACAAATCAGATATAGATAATGGAATATTACTCAGCCATAAAGAAGAATGGCTTTATTTTTTTTCCAGTAAATTGATGGAGATGAAAACTATCATGCTAAGTGTTTGGTGCTGGGGATTGAACCCAGGTCCTTGTGCATGTGAGGCAAGCACTCTACCAGCTGAGCTATATCCCCAGCTCTCTTGATGACATTTGGAGGCTAAACCACAATGAAGGAGGGAGGGAAAAAGGAGAAGTTCAGTAGATAAGCCAAAGAAGCATGAAAGGAAGGGAGCAGAGAAAGGAAAGACGGTAGAATGAATTTAACGTAATTTTCCTATGTATGCATGTGAAGATACATAAGTTATTTCCACCATCATGCCCGACCACAAAAATGGGATTCCTAAATAGAATAAGATATATCCTATGCTTGTATGATTTTATCAAAATGGATTCTACATCATGTATAATTAATAAGAACCAATAAAATAAAATATAAAAAATACTGAATAGGAAAATGCAACCCAATTGATTGCATCATAGCCTAATGATGAAATGTCTTCAAGTTGCATTCCAGTATTTTCTGCATCTCTCCCCAGTGGTGGCTGCCAAAGGTGTTGGAGCCTGAGAGAAAGGTAGAGGTCCAGGGCACTGCACAGAAGAGCAGAAAGGACCCCACACCTGTAGCATTCACCTGCAGGTGAAGGAATCCAAGGGAGCAGATAATCTCAAGGCCTCCCATGTGTAACTAGGACAGAGAGAAGCAAGGTGCATTTTAGTGGATTAGTGAGTATATATTTATAGAATTAAGAAAGTGTGGAGTCAGCTTTCCTAGACTCACAATGAAAACCAAATGTTTTTTTTCTTGAAGAGGCAGAACCTTGAGACCCTCTTAACAATGTCTTCTCTGTATTATGTGACCTCTGGTCCCACTGAGCATTTAGTTATGCTGTTTTTTTTTTTTCTTGTAAAATGCAGAGTGTCCAGCTGCAATTAAGGATACACACCTGGGAAGGGCCTTTGGGACTTTTGCACCCACTGCCTGGAATTCAGGCGAGGGGCAGAAACCAGGGAGAACACCCAGGTTGGCCTTGGTTTGGGCAAGGCTGCCATCATGTGGCCACCACAGATACTTCTCTCAAAAATGGCTTGCCAGTGATTTTGCCTCCAGGTGGAATTTAGGCTCAAAATGTAGATTAAACTTAGTTCAAGGAAAATTAGGCTCTAATGTTACCATATACATCTGCATCTTCTCCAGGACACCTGCCAAGCCTGCTGTGAGCCTCCACAAAAGTGGGCAGCAATACACTGACAACTTCCCAAGAGGCTGAAAGGTTATTTCTTTTTGTATAATATAGCACAGATAAAGAGATGACAAGTCAGCACTCCAAAGAATAGTGAAGGAAGAGGCCCAAGTAATGAAACTTTGAAGAATTAACCTCAATTTCTTAGCATTAGAACTCAACAGAACTTAGGACTCTGGTAACCAGGCACACACATTCCAGAGAGAGTGCCTTATTCAGTTCATTTAAAGGGAGAATGCGAGATAAAAAGATGTTTTCATGATGTAGCCAAACCTTCCAAGGTTCTAGGCACAAAAATGTACAGAGCACATTTACATGTTGGCTCAGCTCTCACACCAGAACCTTATGGCCACTTATCAGGAGGCATCTACAGGTAAAAGGGAGCAGCCCAGAGAAGACCAATCCAGGCAAGTACTCATCTGAGATCACATCGGGAAAGTATTTTGACCTTCCTGTTCTGTGTATGTGTGTGTGTTGGGGTGGAGGGGGAGTGGCAGTAATTGCAGGGGACCTAAAATGGTAGAATTAGGTTATTTCAGAAAATGGGTAATAGGGTGGATATTTAAATATTTGATTCTAGTTTTTCTACTCAAATATTTATCCAAAGACCTTATTCTCTAATCCAGTATATGGAGGCCTATACATATGTTTATCTATACCTGATATGTGCATAAAAATTTTCAATGAGAGTATCCTTTGTGGAAACAGAGATTTATTACATGTTAATTATTGTCCTACATTTAAGACAATCACTTTGCTGAGTTCCATGTATATCATCAAGGAGCTACTTATTAATTCCATCTTCTTGGGGAAATAGCAAGTGTACCACACAACCCACAATGGTATCTCTGGTCTGAGGTTAGATGAGCTTACTGGAGAAGGGTCTCCACAGGAAGGAACTGGAGATGGCAGGAATATGCCAGAACAAATACCCAGATTGGAGACTCCATTAATCTTTGATAACTTTACCATTTGGATGACCTACATGTCCATTCCCAAAGAAATCTAGACTGTATTATTCCCCTGACAACATAATACATGCAAATATTCAGATTACATATTTGTAGAAATAACAGAGAAAATATTTTCACGATTGTCAGTGTTTATTGGACACTAAATATTTCTTTCTGTTTACTTACCTGACCAGGTAGCTCATGCAGCAGTCAACTCCACTGACCTTCTAGTCCTTTCATGAGACTTATATACCAATATTCTTATGAGGAAAGTATTGACACAAAGAGGAGTGAGAGTTACACAAACAAAGGAGGAAAAAGTTATCTGTTTTTCTTTCTTTTTTTTTTTTTAATGACTGGCCATACCACACACACAAAAAAATCTCTATAGCTCCTTAAGGTAAGGAGCTTTATCCCTCACATGCCTTCAGAATATTCTAGTAAGAAATGTCTTTTCTTGCATCAGGTCAGCCTTTCAATGCTTTTGGGATGCAATGTGATCCAATTGTAATTTCATTTAGCCAAAATGCAGGAACAGTGTATGTGTATCATAATGGGCTGTATCAGTGTCACAGGGCTATCATAAGACAATGCCACAGATGGAATTAAACAAAAATTTATTTGTTCTATTTCTAGATTCTTATATCAAGGTGCTTGCTGGAATGATTTCCTTTGAGGCCCACTCTTTGATATGTACATTGCCATCTTCTGTCTCCATGTTTCCATGACATTTTTATGGGCTTCTGTGTGTTTTTATTGCTGCTGTTTATAAGGAGAAAAAGTTCATTGGATTAGACTTCACACCAATTAACTGAGTTAACATTACTCATGCCTTTAAGAATCATATATTCAAACAGAGTCATAATCTGAGGCACTTTGTATCTAGAATATCAACACATGTGATTTGGGGAGGGGACACAATCAGCTGAAAACATAAACTAGTCTCCTGCTGAATACATACATACTCTTAGGAAAGGAAATAGTGAGTAAAGACACACACACACACACGTAACATTTTAATAGCTACCATCAGATTATATCACAGAAAGGCTGTTAAAGTTACATTATCACAAGGAATTTCTGGTTGTAGCTGCTTCTCTGCAGCCAGGATTCCCTAGGGGTTGGATTTAAGGAAATAAAATTGGTTAATATCTTGTACTTGTAGCAAATAAAATCACACTGTTTCATTTTTTTCCAGTTTTCCAAATGACAAGTTTGATTTACCTTTCAGTTCATTATCAGCCATTTAGATTTTTTCTTCCCTGAGCCATACTCAGATTTTGGGCCCTGTGATGTGCTTTCGTGCAACCTATAGTCTCCAAGCATTTGCCCCTGTGAGGAACCTGGTTTGACATGTAGGGGAAAATTAGGATCAGAACACTTTTGAGATCTGAGAAAACTGCTTTATTAGTATGACCACAATCCCAGAGAGATGATTCCCAAAGTCTGAGCCCTGAGCACTTTGGAACTTCTACTTTTATACAAAAGCAAGTTTGAGGTACATCAAGGCAACAGAGTTGGTGCAATACCATTGGATGGTGCAGTCTACATTCTTTACATGGATGCAAACTTGTGAACAATGTAGGAGACTCTTAGCTCATAGAGCTTAGGTACTTTTACTGCATTAAAACTAAAGGGGGATTGTTCTGTCCCCATTGCTGTATTTCCTGCTTCTGGTACTGTGATTACCTTTTACAGGTACTTATTAGCCACTGAACTCCTTTATGGTTAAATGTCAGAAAAAGAGCTGCTGTTAGAAAGCATAAAAAAACCACAGCCTGAGTTAAACTGCTGAGTTTCCATTTTCCTCTACCACAGACACCTCTTTCTGAAGACTTCTCTCACATGAAAGAAGGATAACCAATAGTCTTCAAGTCAAAGGACTTCCTGGGTTGTCTTCTCTAGGCTCTGTCTTTAAAATGGGGAAGGAATCATATTTCTCCAGATGGGCATCCTCTATATTAGGAACAACCCAGACTTTGAGGAGCTTTGAAGGAATTTTACACAGTTCTGTCCTGGACAGTTCTCAGTTGTGACACATGCTGTTGAGAAGCCATTTGGTATCTAGAAGCCTGTGTTTTCTCACCTCTACAATTGGATGCTTTTGGAGGACACGGGTGGATGATGGATTCACGAGTTCTCTTGATATATGTAGATTCTGTGCTTCCAAGCTGACAGAACAACTTGAAGATACTCTGAAGTTACTGCTTTACCATTATATGGCATTCCACAACAATTTTCTTTTCAGAAGATTATATCCTTGACACCATGGACACTCATGTCATTCACATACCCAAATACACTATATCACCTCTTCCTTGTTTGAAATCCAAATGCAAATTACGTGATGATTCATGGTACTGTCAAAATTATTTATTTTTATTTGGCCTTCTTTTACTCTATGTCTTCAATAATACAATTTTCTGCTACTTCCCCTTTTAGCCCATGTCCATCTTTATTTTGAAAACACAGGACTTGGTGGTCCTTTATATCCTTCTAAATCAGCCTGTTTCTATAATTGATAAACCCTGATTAAACTGACCTCATTTTTGATATCAAATATATTTTTGATGTGTAGAAAGGGGACATGATGAATTAGAGTTGTTTTTTTGCCCTTGTGTAAACTGAACCAGGATTCCCTGGATCCTGAAATGAGAGGCCCAAGATGACTCAGATGTATGAGAATGTTCTGTTCATATTATACTAAGTAATTCATTGGCCTGGAATATATATATCACAAATCCTGCTTTTCACTTTCCAAATTGGAAGAGAATAAGAAATGTTGTGTCTTGTGATCTGGTGAAGATGTTTTGGCTTTGCAATCAGACACAGCTCATCCTAAGTCCCAGCCCAGCTGCTTATTAGTTGTGGGGCTTTGTCCACTGAAGGAAACAGATATTACAAGCTGGCTATTAGGTCTAAGGCCAAATTGTCAAATTAAGTGTTTGCCTTTAATGTATTTAAACAATAGAGTCAAGGCTGTGGACAGATTACAAGGAATGTGTCCCGAAACCCCTGGGAACCCATGTTCTTTTTTTGCTGATATTTGCAATGGGAAAGAGCCTCTGACCAGCACCAAGTGGGAAAGCCTTTCCTTGTTAAAGCTCCCTGCTCTCACTCAGGGCATTGTCTCTACTGCTAGTTGAGCCTGAGGAGAAATATTAGCAAGGAACTGTAGCCCTCTACTCTAGCACATAAAAGGTTAGACCAGGTCCCTTACCTCTTTGATGTAAGGGCTTCCACAGATCACAAATTTGGAACTTGGCTGCTATGCTTCCATATGCTGGAGAGAAAAGATTTGAAGGTATCATTCCAAAAATACATATACTTCATTACTATAGTCATGTAAAGGTAATATTATGGATATATTGGGTTATGTTATTAAAAAATTTTTCAACTTTTTTTTTTTTGTGTGTGTGTGTGTGTATGTATTTGTGTGTTTGTGTGTTGCTGGGAATCGAACCCAGGGCTTTGTGTATACGTGACAAGCACTCTACCAACTGAAATATATATATATATATATTATTTTCATTTTTTAATGTGCATACTAGAAAATTTTAAATTACTCTTGCCTTATGTATTGTTTCATTGGACATTGTTGCTTTATTTATTTTTTATTAATTTGTTTTATTGACTTTATGGCTTTAGAGGGTTGCTTCCCAGCTGTCTGTCTCCCAAGAAGACCAAATAACAGAAAAATTAAATGAAAAGCTTTACAGTATTTGTCATTTTTTTCATTTACAAATAATATACAGGCGTATATAACCCATAAACTGAAATTACCTTATATACAAGGTTAAATGCAAATGTTCTGTAGTTGGGCTAGATCCCACTTCTGAGATCTTAAAATAGCAGCAGCCTGAGGCTCTGGGGTGCAATTCCCAGGTCTAAAATGAAAAAGAAAAAAGAAAAGAAAAGAAAACCTGTCATTCTGGCCTCATTCTTGCCCGGAGTGGATATCATCCCGTCACTCAAAAAGAAGGTTCACCGGCTCAGGCTGGGGAGCAGGAAACTGACTGAAGCTCCGACCAATCAGGAGTCTTGCTGAGCATTGTCCAATCCTGACCGCAGCCAGCGAGGAGGGGGCGGGCTTCTGCGCTTCCGCTACTGACCTTTCTGGAGTCCGCCATTCCTGCCATTCAGGTCCAGGTTTTGGTCCGGTACTTAGGATCCCTGGTTGTTCTGCGGCGCAGGTGCTGAAGGTCCCCAGGGAGCATGTCTGACTGCTGAGCACCAGGAAATGGTGAGTGTGCTGCGGTACCTGGAGCCTTGGCAGGGAGGCTGGGGAAGGAGCCTTCAGGCAGGACTGGCTGTGGCGGGAACCGGAGCTGGTAGAACCGGACTCCAGGCAGCTTCTGCAGTCCGCAGGCCTTAGCCCTCCTTGGGGGCATCACCTCTCAGTCCCACTGGCTAGCCAGATGGGGAACGTGTCAGTGGCAGAGACCCCCGCAGCCTCCCACCGGCTCCGGGCGTCCTCAGCCCCAGCTCAAGTCCTATGTGGCTGAGGAGCGCGGCGGCTCGCTGCAGCCCAGCGTCTGCCCCTGGGCTGTGGTGCTTGACACTTGTGACGAGCGTCAGAATCCTATCTCCAAATGCTGTTTTCCTCTAGGAGGAGAGCTGTGGTGTACAGGGTCCTTGATTATTCCTAAGCTAGGTACTTTTCAACTTTTGTTTTTGTTGTTTTGTTTTATTTTGGTACTGGAGGTTGAACAGAAGGGTGCTTTACCACTGAGCCAAATCTCTGGTAGCTTTTATATTTATTTTTTTAAATTTTGAGACAGATTGCAGCCAAGTTGCTGAGATTGGCCTTGTTATGGTTTGATGTATATCGATGTTCCTATTTGCAATCAAGTATATCATTTTTACACATGGATTCACCTATGGATTCTGTTTGTATTGTGATTCCATATATATATATATATATATATATATATATATATATATATATATATATATAATGTTTTATGTGGACATAATACCTTATTTTATTTATTTATTTCTTAATGTGCTGCTGAGGTTGGAACCCAGTGCTTCTCACATGCTAGGCAAGTGCTCTACTACTGAGCTACAACTCCAGCTCTATATTGTGATTCCTTGATTATTATAATAGTAAAGTTTTATAATATATATGTGTCAGGTGATGATGACTACTTCTTTTTTTCTTATAATTGAAAAGTTTCTTGGCTAAGTTTGCATATATTTAACTTTGTGGATGGATTTTGGGACTGTTTGTTTTGATTCTGTCTTTAATTAAAAGTAAAGCATGCTGATTTTTTTTTAATTTGATAGTTGTAGATGGACAGAATGCCTTTATTTTATTTGTTCATTTTTATGGGGTGCTGAGGATCGAACCCAGTGTCTGATGCATGCTAAGCAAGCACTCTACCACTGAGCTACAGCCCCAGCCCAGCATGCTTTTTTTAAAAAAGAAATTAGTGCATTATAGTTATACATAATATTTAGGTTCATTTTGGTATAATTATACAAGCATGAAATGTAATTTGTTCCTCTTCAGTACCCAGTACTTCCCTTTTCCCTCTCCTGTCTTCCCCTGTTTTCAGTTTATTTGTAGAGTTTTTAAAATTACTGCTTTATAGATGCACATAAATGTAAAATTGACTTTGATATATTCACATATGTACATAGAAATTTTGATGGGAAAATATTGTAAGTTAATTTTGGAAAAATTATCATCTTTGTAGTGATGAGTTTTATCATCTACACATGGGGTGTGTAGTTGAGTCTTTTATGTACTTCTGATGATTCAATTTTTTTCATAAGTTGTATACACTTTCTTTTTAAACCTGTTTACTTGGGAATCACCACATGCATATGGAGCCTATGTAAAACCTAAACATGGTGTGTTATACTATTTTTTTTTTAAATGGATGCACTGTGACAAAAATGTGACTTGCCCCTATTGACCACTTTCCCCACAGTTTATTACTCATCACTTCCATTCTTTTGAACCATCACTCTAGGTTTCAAGTGTTTGAATGTGTACTGTTTTCCTACATGCTATCATGGTCAGATGTACTATGATTTCAGTATGTTTCTGTAGGGGAGTATTACGTATCTTTATTAGCAAAAGAGTTTCCACCAATAGATAATAATTCTAAAGAAGTTTAGGGGAATAAATTTGTTTCATATCTTCATCAATACTAATTTTGTCTAGGATGGGATTTCATTTTACATTTCTCTAATTTCTAAAAATGTTGAATTTTTTATGTTTACTGAATACTTAGATGTCTCCTGTATAAATTGGCAGTTTGTTTCTTGCCTGCATTTCCTTTGTGATTTCTGGTTTAAAAAGATAAGAAAATAGATTGAAAGAGGCAGCTGGAGTTTGATTTCAGGAACAAAAAAAATGAATTTACTTTTAATTATTAAAAATTTTTATTTCCATTTTTTCCTTCTCTTGTGTATGTATTGTAGGTTTCTTGTCTTTATTTTTGGAGGTTATTTCAGATGGAACTTTAGGGCTTTTCTTTGGAAATTCTAACAAGAAATAGAAATAAGGCAAATCTCTCTTTCCTATGACTGCAGAAAAATGAATATATTTTCTCAAAAACACCTGGTAAGTAAATTTTTGAATGACACAGTCACTAAAACATCCACTCTTCTTCCTTGAAGGTTTTTTTTTTTTTTTTCTTGAATGTTTTTGACAGTGAGTCATGTATCCTATTACCTTGATTTTGGAGTTTAATACAAATCATATGGGATAAGATTTGGCCAATCCTAGAAATATTCAGACATGATTTTATTTTTAGAAATAGTTACATTTTTTCCCCAATATCTTATAAGCCCTTTAGATTATTTTCTTCCTTTTGTCTTACTCAGACTCTGGGACTTCAGTGTGCTTTCTTGTACCCTGTAATCTCTAAGCATTTGTCCCCATCAGGAGTCTGGGTTGATAGGTCTTGTTTCTCCAAAGTTCCTTTAACATGAAGGAAGATAATACAGTTGTGTCGCTCCTGGGACATTTTCTCTAGGCACTCTCTTCTAAATGGGGGAGGAAATAATATTTATCTGGACTAACTTCCCCTATATCAGGAGCAAACTAGTCTTTGTGGAGCTTTGAAGGCATTTCATGTAGTTCTGTTTCTGGGTAGTTCTCTATGTGCTGCTGAGTTGCCATTAGATGTCCAGAAACTTATGTTCTCTCATGTCTACAATGGGAATAATTTTAGAAGACACACATGGATTATGCGCTTCATGAAGCCTACTAATACATGTGTATGCCGTGGCCCATAGATGACAAAGCACCTGGAAGACACTGCAGATACTAACAGTTTAACCATCATCTGCCAGTCACATGGATTTTCTTTCAAAAGATTGTTGTAACCTTTTCATTATAGGCCCCCATGTCATCCACATGACCAAATATAAAATGTTGAGTCCTCCTCATCTGAATTCTAGATTCCATTTCTCATGTGATTCAAGGTGGTGCAACTAATTGCATGTTTCTCCTTGCCCTCCATTTGCTCTATGTCCTCCATAAAAGATTTTTATGCTTAGAGGCATAAAATAATATATATATGTATATATATATACATACACACACACACTATGTATAGAATATGTGTGTATATACTATGAATTATATGTGTATATTATATATACTAGTATACATACATATATAATACATAATAATACACACAAACACATACACACACACACAGAAATCCTGCTGTTTTGAATATGTTCACCTATGTTTAGAAAATGACAGAAACCTGGATCATTTTCTGATTTTAAAGGAGGACTGAGATTATGTCTGAACTGGAATTTTTCTGGGTCCTGCAATGGGAGCCCCATGACAAATTAGCTATGAGAATGTTTGTCATAAAATATATTTGTGTATATAATAGCATAGATGTCATATAATGCTAGAAGTGAGGGATACAGTTCCATACCAATATTTCTTCTCAGATGCAAAAAACAGTAGAGACACTGTCCTGAGTGAGAGTAGGGAACTTTAACAAGAAAGTTTCTAGAAGTAGACTTTTTCCACCAAATTCTGGCCATGGTCTTTTCCACTCCAGATATCAGGGCTGGAGATATAACTCAGTTGGTAGGGTGCTTGCCTTACATGCACAAGGCCCTGGGTTCAATCCCTAGCACCACACACACATACACAAAAAGACTTAAGATATCAGACAGGGCTGGCGTTGAGACTCAGTGGTAGAGTGCTTGCCTAGCACACACGAGGTATTGGGTTCGATCCTCAGCACCACATAAATGTAAAATAAAGGTATTGTGTCAACCTAAAACTAAAAAAATAAATATTAAAAAAGATATCAGACAGTAAGCAAAAAAATAAACACACCCACATATATATAAATAATATATTTAATATGTAGTGTAAATATATTGTAAAAGATATAGATTGATAGATATATTACATTATATACGCACACACACATTACATTTTATATACACACACACACATATACACACACATAGAAATCTTGTTTTTTTTAATATATAACACTAACCAAGTCCTAAAATTAAAAAAAATAAGTTATATGAGTTATGTAATGTGGTGGAAGTATTTGGGCTTTCAAATTAAATATAATTCATTTCTATTTGTAATTTATTTTGGGGTACCACCGAATGAACCCAGCGGCACTCGGATATATCATCAACCCTTTTTTGTATTTTATTTAATGACGGGGTCTCAATTAAGTTGTTTAGGGCCTCATTACATTTCTAAGGCTTACTTTGAACTTGTGTTTTTCCTGCCTCAGCTTTGGAGGAAAAAAGTCTACTTCTAGAAACTGAAGTTTCAAGCATATGCCACCACATCTGGTGATACTTACTTATTAATTGAAGGGGCTTTGGTCATTGGAGGAAAAAAAATGTCACAGACTGGCCATTAGGTCTAATGTAGCTGGACACAATACTTTTTTTTTAAATTTATTTTTTTAATTTAATTTTTTTATTTTTATATGGTGCTGAGGATTGAACCCAGGGTCGCATGTGCTAGGCGAGTGCTCCACGACTGAGCCACAGCTCCAGCCCCAAGGAGTTTACCTTTAATGCATTTAAATAATAGACTCAAGGCTGTGGATAGATCTGAAGACATGGGCCCCACCTTCTGGAACTTCACCTTTTGCTTGCTATCTGATTATCTGGAATGGAAGGGACCATGGCCAGCATTTGGTGAGAAAAAAAATCTACTTTTGGAAATATTCTGGTTAAAGTTTTCTGCTGTCACCCAGGGCAGTGTCTCTTCTATTTTTTTTTTTTTTTTTAGACTTGAGGAGAAATATTGTTGAGGAATTGAATCCCTCACCTGTAGCATAAAAAGGAGCAGTAAGGAGCTTCGTCTCCTTGAGGTCCGAAGAACTATAGCTCTGAAATCTGAAATATGGTTCTGAGAACTGAGATATTCTGGAGGCTTGACATATCAGTTTTGAGGGTGCAGTCCCCAAAATACATATATTTCTTTAGTAATATTTTATTGGTTACATAACTGTAATATTCCCATAATGAATATATTGGGTTGTGTTATTAAAATTAATTTCTACTATTTATTTATTATTTTTAAAAGTTGTCGATGGACCTTTATTTTATTTGTTATTTATATGCAGTGCTGAGAATTGAACTCAGTGCTGGTAAGTGCTCTACCACCGAGCCACAACTCTAGTCCTACTATTTATTTTTTTATGTGAATATTAGAAAAATTTTGATTAGGCTTGTGACTCACATATTCTTATCATTGGGAAGTGCTGCCTTATGGGATTGCTTCCCAGTTCAATGTTCAGTCTGTTTCCTCAGAAGAGGAGAGAGCAGGAAAGTTAAATGAAATTTTACAGTATTGTCATTTTATTATTTACATTTATAAATAATATACAGGCATATATACCCACAGATTGAAACGGCCTTCTGTAAAAGGTTAAATGCAGATGCCCTCTTGACTGGGCTGGGTCCCACTACTACAAGGAAACCTTGCCTTAAGTCAGCTGCATCCTGAGGCTCTGGATTTCAATTCCCAGTACCTTAAAAAAAAAAAGAAAACAGAACTGCAGCCAAGAACCTGTCATTCTGACCTCATTCTTTTCAGCATATGGTGTCACCTCCTGTAACTCAAACATAAGACTCACTATGCTCAGCCTGAGAGGGTGAAGATATAAGCCCTGTCCACTTAGGAGTCCTTAGGTCAAATCAAGCACATGGCCAATGACTAGGAGCAGGCTTTGACCACCTGGTGTGGCTTTTGTCTCTTGAGCCTGCCAGCATTGTTATTCATCTCTAGGCTTCCTTTTTATGTTCCTCTTTCATGTTTGCTCTGCTGTGCAGGTACTGAAAGATCTACTGAGAGAACACTGGGCACCTCAAAAACCATTAAGTGGTGAGTGTGCAGTGGCTTCCTGAGACAGGGGGCATGGCTACTTGAAATTGGCTGGATTATAGTGGGAACTGATGATTGTGGACTGGAATTCCTTTGGTAGTTTCTTGAATCTGCAGGCCTGGGTCCTCCCTGGGCCAGGTTAGCCCTGAGTCCTTACTGGCCAGTCAAGTGGGGCATGTATCAGCAATGAGGAACCTGAGAGTCCTGTCTTATTCCTGCAGAGAAATCCTATCTGAAGGTGCAGCATTCCAGCATCTTCCCAGAATGTGTATTGAATTGAATTGAGCAGTGGGATGATCGTCAGTCACAGCTCCATGTGTGTCTTCTTGCATGAGGGGGGCTGTGGTTCTGCAGGAGTCTCAGTTCTTCCTTCCTCTTGAGCTTTCTGTTCTTTCTTTTTTTGTAAGGGTAGGGGTACTGTGGATTAAACCCAGAGGTCCTATATCGCTGAGCTATATCCTTTTTACTTTTCATTATTATTATTTTTATTTTGAGACAGATGCTGAGTCTGGCCTTGAACTTGTTCTTCAGTTTCCTGAGTTTCTGGAATTACAGGTGTGTGCCATCTTGCCTGGATTCCTCTGAATATTCTAATTTTATGGGAAGCAAAGTATCAAATCCAGAACCCTGTGTCCCAGCCTAAACCTCTGTACATCTGTCAGTACATTCCTAAACTGCCAGCTTCCTGTCCATATTCTCAATTACAGTGTTCCTTTCTCCACAGTACTGTCAATTATTTTTTCCCCATGCTACATTTCAAATGGGTACAGTATTTTTTAATTGTTTTACCAAGAACTGGATGGACCTTTTTAAGGGATTTTTTTTTTTCCTGGCTGTGAACCTCGAAATTTTAGGTAGACTGTGGGCAAGTGAGCAAGACCTGTCTCAAAATATTTAAACAAGGGCTGGGGATATAGCTCATATTTAACATGCTTTTGTGTTAAATCCCCAGTACCACAGAAAAATAAAAAGCAAAAGATTTGTTTTCTGTTTATGAGCATTTCACATAAGAGAAAAGTAGAGAAGAATCACTTGACCTTTATAAAAATGTGCGTATGTGTATCCTATCTTTGTCTCTCCCAGGCCAGAAACCTTGACAGGATGTCTTTGGGCTGAGAGTCCCCTTATGGAATTTATGTCTGTGATATTTTCCTGGTCCTGTGTTTCAGATCTACCTGACATGAGGATCCCATACCTGGTACAACTGAGGTCTCTTGGAGTGACTAGTGAATGTCAGTTCTTGGGTCCTATCTTGTTAAACAAGAGTCTAAGTTTAGGAAGTACAGTTTATTAAGGAAGTAGCTGAGTGGCCTCCTGCTGAAAGGAGTCTCCTGAATTTCCTGTTGTGTCCTTAATCCAAAAGGCACTTCAGTTGTTTCCTTATCTTGGCTTCTATGAATACTGCTATAATGAATATGACAATGTAGCCATTTTTTTAACATACTGATTCCAATTCCATTGGAAATAGTATGTTAGCTTTTAAAGAACTCTCATGCTACTTTTAAAAAAAAATGACTGTTATTGAATTTATATTCTAGCCCAGTGTGAAAGTGTTTCTTTCTTCCGTATCCATATAATTGGAGTACTAGTTGTCCTTCAACTCTTTGATAGTAGCCATTCTAATAGCTGTGCTCAGGATGCAGAAGTTCTCATACTTGGCTGGTGACTAAATTCCTGATGCAAGTTTGTTAGACTCTAGGCTGCTATGTACTCACTGGAAGAAGGTGATGTAAACCTATTCTAGAAAGAAACAGATCTCTGATTTTTAGCCCTTTTTCTTTACTCCTGGTGGGGATTGTAGCCCATAGAAATACTCATACATCAATGTGAAGCCCCTCCTTTGTTATCTAGGGAGATTTGCACATGCACAGTTGCCATTGCTCCAAAAATTTGGAGGTTTAGGATGTAGTGCATTGAATGGAAAAAGTTAAAGTTTTTAACTTTAACTCTCAGTGCAAGAGCAAATTCCTATATGAACAATTGGTTAGGTCTGGAGTTAATATTGAAGTGAGATGGGAGAGAGGGCTCAGGCAGTGCTGAACTCCCATGTGGGTTGCCAGTGGTGGACTGTGTTTTCCCTATTAACTCTTTGGTACTGGCAGGATAAAGGCTCAACTGTTAGCAATAGCATTTTGCTGGCAAATTCATTTCAGGGATGAACTGGGGACCCTTGAGATTTCAGTCCTCCTCTGCTCTGGTCCCAGGGAATGTAGCCCATTCATTGATCTTGCATAGCCATGGAAAGACACCATTTTCCTTTCCTCTGGTCTTGATACATGTATATATGTAGTCCTTTCCTCTCTATGCACCAGATAAACTAAGATTCAACCTATAAGAAATCTAGCATTAAATGTGCTATATTTATCATCCCAATCAGTTTTCCTCTACTCAGAGTGACAGAGGATTTAATGTCCAAATTGTATGGCACATTTCTTAAGGCAGGACTAGTGTCCACGTGTCCATCAACTTTTTCTACTCATCTGATGGTAGATATTTTCTCAGTTGTCCAATGTACACAAGTCTCTCAATTTATTTATGCCTTTATTTGAGAGTGACTTAAAACAGGAGTAAGTGTTTATTTGGTGTATCCATGAATGGAGGGAGAGTCAGGAGCCTCCTTTTCTGCTATATTTTGAAAATCATCCCTCTTAACATCTGCTTTTTTGGGGGGGCTGGGGTATAATTCTAGTACCAAATGTAATCTGCACCCAAATCCTACCCATGATCTGTGCCTCCGGTTCTAACATCTGTATTTATGTTGGGTTGTATCATTCACTCATATCAAATACTTTTCGTCATATGGTTGCATTTGTACAGACTCTTTTATTGCACTTAACAGTAACAATGATTTGTATATACATATGAGTTTATGAAATTTTCTGCATTATAATTTCTTGGTCTTCAAGTTATTGCAATATTAGAGTTTTATAATGTACATTAGCGTCAGGTAATGAGAGCTGCTGCTTTTTCTCTTATGTTCAGAGTTCAGGGCTAATTTCATATATATTTAACCTTCCAGCAGAATTTTAGAACTTTTTGATTTGGTCTCTTATTCAATTTAAAGTAAAGCATGTTGAAATTTTTATGAGGTATTATAGAATAACCTGGGGGAAGTGGTCATCTTTATAATGACAGGTTTTGTCATCTACACATGGGGTGTAATTGAGCCTTTTCTGTGCTTCTATGTATTTTTATTTTCTCAAATTCTAAAGATTTTCTTTTAAAATATGCTTACCTTATAAGTAACATATAACATATAAAATGTCACTTATAACCTTATAAATGACATATAACATTCATGTGACACATATAAAAAATTACATGGTGCTTTATACTATTGTTTTCCACTAGATTTAATATGAAAAAAATGTGTCTTCTTCTATAAACCATTATTTCCCACAGTTTATTATTTATCAATTTATAAATGTTCATTCTCTTTAATCCAGAAATACTGCTGTATTCTTATATATACATGTGCTATAGTTTTAGTCTATTTCTGGTGTGGATATATCAGATATCTTCAATAGAAAAACAGTTTGCACACATGGATAGCAACAGCTCAAACTCCATCTTCCCTTCATGATTATTCATTTATACCATATGTTCATCCATAATCTTTAATTTGGGGTATATCATTTTATTTTATTTTACATTACCTAGTTTCTATTGATGTTGGGTTTTTTATGATTATTTAACATTTAGATATCTCATGTAAATTGGCTATTCATTTTCTTTTTTTTTATTGGTTGTTCAAAACATTACAAAGCTCTTGACATATCATATTTCATACATTTGATTCAAGTGGGTTTTGAACTCCCAATTTTATCCCAAATACAGATTGCAGAATCACGTCGGTTACACATCTACTCTTGCATGCATTTTCTTTGCAATCTTTTTTTTTTTCCCACTGATAGTATTTTTTCCCACTGATAGTTGGATCATATGTGAGGAAAATTAGTTACTTTTGCTCTTTCACTTCATTTTTCACCCTTTAATAGTATTGGATCAACAGAATTTTCAATTTAATACTATGTAATTCATTAATTTAAAAGTATTTTGTGTAACTTTGAAAATAAATAACTGTGTAATTTTTTTGTTCTTTTTCCCTTTTGTGATTCTGGGGATTGAAACCAGGATGTCCTATTGCTTAGCTATATCTTCACCCTTTTTAAAATGTTATTTATTATTATTATTATTTATTTATTTATTTTTACAAGGGATTGAACTTAGGGGCGCTTAACCATGGAGCCACACCACCAGCCCCACTTTTGTATTTAGAGACAGGGTCTTACTGAGTTGCTTAGCACTGTGCCATTGCTGAGGCTGCCTTTGAACTCATAATCCTCCTGCCTCAGCCTCTCAATTAAAAGTTATTTGAGACAGTTTTGCTCAGTTGATAGGATCAGTCTCAAAATTGTGCTCCTCCTGCCTCAGCCTCCCGAGTACTGGATATTTCAGGTGTGCACCACCACATGCACCCTGACTCACCCTTTCTTACATCAACATTTGAATGCTTTATGTTTTATTTTATATTTTAGTATTATTCATTATTTTTATATTCAGTATTTAGTATGTGAAAATGAGGTGTTATATGGTTTGAGTGAAGAGTACCATAGCATTTTTATTATCACACAGATGTCCCTTTATCCTGAAATCTTTCTTTGGAAAGAAAGACATTTTTCTTCTCTGCATTGCAATCTCTATCATTTATTTACTATTGTCTGAATAGCAAGGGACTTACTAAGTGTTTTTTCTTGAGTGAGTTCCACAGTTTTTGCATTTCATTGTGAGTATTACATTGATTGTTACAAACCATAACATCAGTTATGTGTGATATTATGGTATTTTGGTCAGTGGTAGACTTCAGTTACAACAAAGCCTATAGCAAATAGCCAAGCCATGTAGTACTCTGTGCCATCTAGATTTTTATCATTATACTCAGATGCTTGGAAAATGACGGAATTATCTTCGAGTGAATTTTCTATAATGTATTCCCATCAAGGGAGACATCATTGTATACATATATATGTATGTCATTATATAGTATATAATGGACATAATTTTTACTTATCAAGTTTACCAGTGCTCTTTCAATTTTATTTGCTTTTTAAAAGCACCAGCATTGACATTGGTGATTCTTTTTTGTGGTATGTTCATTTTCAATATTTGCTAAATTTTCTCTTTTTCTTAGGATTTTTTTCTCTAGTCTTATTTTTATAAAGTATACTTTTTTCCAAACTATTATGGCTTACTGATCTAAGACTGCATGTTTTCTTTTTAACCTCAGCTTTAGCTGTATCTCCCTTTTTTACATTTATGGAGGTTTGATAGACACACATTAACCTGTATACATCTTAGGAATCTATCTATCTATATCTTTTGGCTTATGTACATATCCAAGAAACCAACACCACAATCAAAAAATTATCATATTCATTACTACAAATTGTTACCTAGTTCCCTTTTACATCCTTTTTTTCTGCTCTTCCCCACAACCTTTTGCATAATAAATTTGATCTTACTGAGCACAACAAGAAGAGGATATTGAAATTATA